CCGCGCCCCACACTCCCGGCCGGCCCGCTCCCCGCTACCTTCTTCAGCTCGTTCTCGCTGGCGCCGGGCGGGACGCCCAGGATGTCGTACAGCTTCGTGTCGGCCACGTTCGCCATGGCGGCCGGCCGGGCAGCGCGCAGGAAAGAAGGCGGCGGAGCGGACGGAGCGAAGCCGGACCCACAGGCGGCGGCGGCGCAGGCCGAGGCAGACAGCGAGGGGAGCGGGGCGGGGCTGAACTTTGACCCGGCGCAAGGCGCGCCGTGACGTCGCCGCGCGGGCCCGCCCCCCAGCCTGGGCCGCGGCCGTTGGGCGCGGAGGCGGAGTTGCGGGGTGCGCGCTGCTTGGCGGGGTCCGGGCCGCGGGGGTTCCGGCGGGATTGTCCGGAAGAGGTGGGCACGGCGCTTTCCAGGAATTGGGCCCACACTGAGAGTCGTGTACCAAGGGCGTCGCGCGGGTGACGCCACCCTGAGCGCCGGGGGATGGAGAAGCCGCCCCTTGGTGAACCCCGAGCCCGGCGGGAGCAAATCCGGGCCGGCGCCCGCGGAGGCTCCAGAGATGACCTCGAACGCCGAGACGCCGGCGGACCCTCGGGGGTGTGGGTGTGTGTGTGTGAGAGAGAGGTGGGAACAGCACCTGGGGTGGGTGTGTGTGTGTGTGAGATGGGAACAGCACTTGGGGTGTGTGCTTTATGGGAAGTTTCTCAGACATCCACCAAAGAGATTAGTGTTATTAAACCCATGTACGCATCCTCCGAGTTCAGCAGTTAGCTATACTTCAGCAAGTTTGTTCCATCTATTCCCCAACCCCCAGGGTTTTAAGGGAAACCATTTTACTCATAAATACGGTAAATCTCTTAACAGAGGACTTCTTAAGGCATTATCACATTTAATTAAACTAACAATTCCTTAATCTAATTCCCAGCCTATGTTCAGATTTTCCCAGTTGTTTCATGTCCTTTTACAATTGGTTTGTGGTATCCAGATCCAAACCAAGTTCCACGCGTTGCATCTGGATCTTACCTAGGTTTAAAAAAAAAAAATCAAGTCAACAGCAGGGGGTCTAGATGACAGACTGGCAGTGTACAGTCACTCGGTGGTTGATGCCCATTGGTTTACGTTCATTTAGTTTAGCTCAGAAAACATTCACTTCGCACCTACCCCGCTTATGCGCAGAAGCCTGAGCTGGAGGAGGAGAATGTTACAGGAGAATAAGCCGTGGTGCCTGCCTTCAGCTCACAGTTTATGGAGACGGAAAAATAAGGTGTTTTGATGCCTTGCAGCCTGAATTGGTAGCAGAGACCCCATAAGCATCTCACTCAGGATAATCTTTCTTCTCCCAGGCCTGGTTGTGGAGGGCCTTGAGTACCATGCCAAGCGGTTTGAAATTTATCTTGAAAACCCTGCTGAGTCATTGATGAGAAGTCACAATGTTCCTTCCACCAAACTCCCTTTTCCACACATCCCACCACTGAAAAGCCACTTGGTCTATGCAGTCTTTCTTTATTCTACCACCTGGTGAGGACTGCTGTCTCATTTGAGTTCCCACTACCCTTGCTTTTTGCCTTTTGCGGACAGGTATGATAACGCGACGTACGGTATTTCGGTACGTTGAGTCTGAACTCCATCAAGAGGCGTAGGTTCCTTATGGGACATTCATTCTTCCGTGCCCCACAAGGTCTGGCTTTGAATGCAGTAAACCAAAACCAAACCAGTTGCCACTGAGTCGATTCAGACGGCTGACAACCCTACAGGACAGCAGAACTACCCCCTAGGGTTTCCAAGGAGCAGCTGGTGGATTTGAACTGCCAACCTTCTGGTTAGCAGCCGAGCGCTTAACTGAATGCAGTGAAGGCCTCATCAGTCCGTGGACGTATGCCATTACCATGTCATCGCGGACCTTCGTCTTCCTCGTGCAATGCTATGACGGACCATTCCTCCTCTTCACATTTCGGGATGTCCGCAGGAGGCAGGATAAAGTCACGGTGGAGTAGATGATGGGGGTTGGCAGCCTGGCTCTGCCATGTATTACCCATGTGACTTTGGGCAAGTTACTTGACTTCCCTGAGCCTGAGTTTCCTCTTGGGTAAAATGGGGTTTAACAATGGTATTTGTATCATTGGCTTGTTTTGAGAGTTAAACGTTAACTCACGTGGAGTCCTAGAACGGAAGCTAGAGCCAGTTCAGGGTTAGATGTCGTTCTTTGCCATTTGCCTACAAGCTGTCTCTACGTCTGTGCCCACTGCGTGCGTTCATCTACAGCCCTGGGTGCCATAATGTCACCCTGACTTCCTCCTTTCCCTGTCTGGAATTTCCCTCAGTCACATTTCATGAGCTCACCTTCCTGCATCTCCCTGCTTGGCACTTGTGATTCTTTCTTCCTCCCTTAGTTGCTGCTCCACAGGAGAATATGAGCTGAAAACTGTCTTTACCGCAGCCTGAATAGCTTATTATCATATTTTTATCTTTTTTCTTTCTGCCATGAAGAGTTTAAAAGAGCTGGATTTTTATGTTTGTTTCAGTTTTACTCAGTATTTTTTGCAAGGGGAAAACAACTCTCACTTGGTTCAATTTTAGCTACTGATACTCTAGCAAAGAGTACCAAAAAAACCCAAAAGCGTTGCTGTCAAGTCGATTGTGACTCATAGCAGCCCTATAGGACACAGCAAGCTGCCCCGTAGGGTTTCCAAGGCTGTACATCTTTACAGAAGCAGACTGCCACGTCTTTCTCTCCGTGGAGCACCTGGTGGGTTCCAGCCACCCACCTTCCAGTTACCAGCCGAGCGCTTACCCACCACGCCACCAGGGCTCCTTTAGTGAAGAGTAGCTGGGTAAATTCCCTCCCCAGGTCTAAGTTGTTCTTTACCTGACTAAACCAGTCACTATCGTCCATGTTTTTAAATTTTGTTTGTTCATTTTACAGGTTAACCAGCTCCTCATACTTCAGCTCTGTGCTTCAGCTGACACAGGTGCCCCTTCCTGTCAGCACACCCTGAGTGAGACCCTTGTTGGCCGTGGGCACTGTAACACTTCGGCTGCCCACTCACTGAGTGTCTGAGGTAGCTCATTTATGTTAGCTCCAAGTTTAGCTAACGCCACGAAGGGAACACGATCTTTATCTCATTTCACGTCTCCAGGGCACCATCAAATGCTGAGTCACAGTGCATCTGAGGGACGCTCTCAGGCAAATGATTTAAACTTCCAGGCTGGAGCGATTTCAGGCTGCTGCCAGGTGTCTATCGTTGTTCAATCACTTTCTTTGTTTGGTGTGCTTGCGTGAGCACCTGTGTGGGGTGGGGGTGGGGAAGAGGTGGCTAAGGAGCCGCGGCGTATATGGACTACACTGTTTGTGAAGGCTGGCCATGCTCTTCATAGCTAATTGAGCACAGAAACCTGTAAGCCATTACTTGAGAGAACCCTGTATACATAACTCAGACAGTTCAGAGAGTTTTGCTTTCTGCCCTTCATCTCACTAGTTTTGAAAGTACAGAGCAAGTGATGCAAAGTTAAAGTATTTTCCAGGCTATGCCAAACCAAAACCGACTGCTGTGGAGGGGATTCCGACTCGGCCACCTTACAGGACAGAGTAGACCGGCTCTGTAGGGTTTCCTACAAGCGGCTGATAGAGTCAAACTGTCCACCCTTTGGTTAGCAGCTGAGCTCTTAACCACTGTACCACCAGGGCTCTGAGGGAGGGCTGGGGCATAGTACAATTTGTAATATAATATTTTATTGTATTTTTGGTAGAAGTGTACACAGCAAAACAGGTTCCCATTCAATCATTTCTGCACATATTGTTCAGTGATATTGGCCATATACTTCACATTGTATCAACAGTCTCATTATTTCCACTCTATCTGTTCTGTTCCCATTGACCTAGTCTCACAGCCCCCCAACCTTGTCATCTATGCTTCAGAGCATTCGTTGACCATTTGGTTTCATATAGGTTGTTTTTTAAAAGAGTGCAGTAATCAAGGGTAATATTCATGACTTTATGAGCTAACCTGCTATATAGCTAAAAGGTGACTTGAAAGGATAGTTTCGGTTCAAGAATATCTCAGGGTAATAGTCTCAGGGATTCTTTGTCTCAGTGGATCCATTAAGTCTGGAGTTTTTGAAAATTTGAAGTTCTGTTCCATATTTTTCTGCCTTTCTGTTGGGATCCGTCTGTTGTGGTCCTGATCAGAACAGTCGGTAGTGGTAGCTGGGCACCATCTAGTTCTTCTGTTCTCAGGGTAGATGAGGCCGTGGTTCATGTAGACAATTAGTCCTGTAGATTTGTTCCTTCTCTGAGTCTTGGGTTTCCTTCTCTTTTACTCCGGATGAGTACAGATCAATAGTTGTATCTTAGATGGCCGCTCATAAGCTTTTAAGACCCCAGACTCTACTCACTGGACTAGGAGGTAGAACATAAACTTTATGAACTATGTTATGCCAGTTGCGTTCTCTCATGAGACTATGACCTTAAGACTTGAAGAAAACTAATCCTGTGAGATGACTGGTTATCTCTAAGACGTATTAGTTTCTGAGACCCTTATTTGTTTTATTATATATATTATGTATACATATAAACATACATATATGTATTTTGCTGATTGTTGTTGCAAAGTTATATATAACATACCATTTACCTAAATATCTTTTTTTATAGTTTTATAATCTCAACTTGAATTCTTAGACCAAGTCTATGAGTCTAGACATCTTGCTTACAAAGGAAATTAAGATTTTAAAGATTATTTTTCATTAATACATTGATGTAATTTAAAAGTCTAAACCAGACCTAGCAATTCCACTCCTAGATATATATCCAAAATAACTGAAAACAGGTATTCAAACAAATACTTGTAGGGGAATATTCATAGCAGCCCTATTAAAAATAGCTAAAAGGTGGATGAATAGATAAACAAAACGTGGTATACCCGTTCAATACAGTGTTATTTAGGCATAAAAAGGAAGGAAGTACCAATACCTACTATAGTGTGGACGAACCTCAAAGACATTATGCTAAGTGAAGGAAGCCAGACACAAAAGGTTGCATGTTACGCGATCCCATTTATATAAGAGATCTAAAATAGGTAAATTCATAAAAGCTAAAGGCAGATGAGTGGTAGCCAGGGGCTGCAGGGAGGGTAGAATGGAGCCTGACAGCTTCCTGGGTGAGCGGCTTCCCTTTGGCGTGATGAACGTGTGTTTGCACTGGACAGAGGTGGTGGTCGCACAA